ATCAATGAAAATATCCCATCAGAGATTTCCTTTAGTAGCTGGATTTTGTGTGGACATTACTATCCCTCTATAGCAATAATAACTGCTACATTTACCCATATGTTATTGATACTCTTCCAAGGCAATGCTGCAAAATATTCAGATTATTTATAGTCCCCATTCACATTTTCTTTATCCTTTTCAGATTCAGTATTAAGAATGCCACAGGCTGGAAGAGGTCGTGGAATGACTGTAGGGCAAGGTGAAGCACTGCGCAGGCCAGGACCTGTTAGTAAGTCACTCCGTGATATTGAACAGTTTTGCTTGGTGTTTGATTCATATGGAAGCAGAAGGAAAATAAGATAGATATGAGAAAGGAGATGTAATATTTTGATTGATGATTTGAATATACCTGCAGTACCCACAATTAAAGTCACTGTTAACCCAATGTCGATGGAAAAATGGTGCGTTCCCTTTGCCAATGCTTGGGCAAATGTTTTTACACATAGATGTCTCTGCCAGTGCTTAGCCATAAAGGAGTCAATTAGTAGATCTTGCAACCTAACTTTTCCTTGGAAAAGCGGGATAAATACCTTTTTTCATAATGCTATCAATATTGACATTGTTATTTTTGTTATATACATTATAATTACTATATTGTTACTGATATTACTAACAGCATAGTAGATATTAGAAGATATTATCGAAAATCAAGGAAAAGGACAAACAGGTTAAACAGATAGTTCGCGTAATTGGCTCATCGGTGACAGTACTTGTGGAGCCATCTATATTTAAAAACAATTACTAAAAGCAACACACATAATGGGCAATGGCATGTACGTACATGCCATACCTGGCGGCTTGGGGTTAATATGAAAATTATTTTGCAATGTATAAACTAAGTTTTCTTCCATATTTACAGACAATGGTGGTGATACTGCCAGAGCCAAGACCATAGTGGACAGCATCTTGAAAATCAAATCACCAGATGATCTACAGCTCCAAGATCTTGCATCTGAGATTAAATCTACTATGAATGATGAAGAGGAACTAAAGTGAATATTTTTTTCATTAGATCTTTAACCAAAAAAAAACACAGTTAATTGGCATGAAGAAGTAACATTTTCCTTAATGATCTTCCGAGTTTCATGTGTATTTGTGCGATTTATAGTACTGCTTTTCTATAATCATAGCATATGGTATATTATCTTTAGTGCTTATGATAGCTAAGATGATATAACAAATCATGTTATATCTGTTATTATACAAAATCTGTATCCCTTTTGCTGTACATTTGGAACACTAGCTAGATTTTTTCTTCTTCTTCAAGAATTAGTTACATAGTTCTAATAAAGGCCAAATTAATTACAAAAATATGCATAACTTATCCAAACTAGCTATTTAGAAAAATGTTCATGATACTAACTTTCAGGTAATTAAGAACGAAGTATCAGAACATGCCAATATCTTGCAGATGGTTCGTGGAGGAATTATGCACCCAAGGTCTCAGCGAACGCAACTGTGCTCCAGTTGCAGCGAAATTATTTGGCTTAATTGCCCAACACCATGCAGGGGAGAGCAAGATTAGGACCCTGTTGCTGAGACGTGTCCAGAGTGAATATGCAAGTAAGTTTGAATTTGGGTTTGTTATATTAGATTTCTCTTGCTTCTTGCCTCTTCTTTGCTCTTTGCTCCTCTCCTTTCCCTTTTCCTACCTTCATGCTTTCTTCTCTTCCTGCTTTCCCTCCTCCCTCACTCATTCACTCATTAAAGATATTTCTTCCTCTACCTTTCATCTCTCTCTCTCTCTCTCTCTCTCTCTCTCTCTCTCTCTCTCTCTCTCTCTCTCTCTCTCTCTCTCTCTCTCTCTCTCTCTCTCTCTCTCTCTCTCTCTCTCTCTCTCTCTCTCTCTCTCTCTCTCTCTCTCTCTCTCTCTCTCTCTCTCTCTCTCTCTCTCTCTCTCTTTCTTCTCCCTCTCCCTCCTCTCCTCCCTCTCCTCTCCCTCTCTCTCCCTCTCTCCCTCTCTCCCTCTCTCCCCTCCCCCTCTCCCTCTCTCTCTCCCTCTCCCTCTCTCCCTCCCTCTCTCTCTCTCTCATGCTTTTTCTCTTTCTCTCTTTCTATTTCTTCTTTCTTTTTTCTTTCTCTGTGTCCTTCCTTCATATCAGATCCTCCCCACTTTGATTTAACTTTGAAATTACACTTACATCACTGAAAACTTATTTTACAATTTGATTGAATACTTTTGTTTTTCCAGAAAAAGATGATTTAGCAGTCTCAGATTGGTCACACTTTGTAACGTCTGCGCTTTTCCTTGGTGAGGTGTTTTACCATGTCAAGTCAGAGCAGAATACTCCTTTTAAAGTAGGTATACTTTGTCATTCCAAGGTGTATGATTGCGTACTCGATTGTTGACATTTCTGGAAGTTTGGCTTGTGATTTATTCTTCTTACATATGCCCCATGTGTTTCATTATTTTTAGTTTCATTTCAGTTTTGTTTCATTATTTTTCAGTCCACAGTTAAGATATCAGTAGAATATGAAGATGATGCTCAGTGATGCCAGGCACAAAAGTTATTCTGTAAAGTTGAATTATCATTTGTAAAGGGGAAAAATATGTAAATATGTTGCTTTACATATGTACATGTTCAAACATTCTAACACTTAATTCAAACATAATATTGTGCCTCCACTGCTTCTGTGCAGTAACATGGAAATTGTTGCAAGCAAAGATATTCCTACAATAACCAGCAGAAAAGGAGTAAAGTAAAGACAATAGGCTTTTCAAAATAACTCACATTGCAAGAGTCCAAGCTTACTGGCCAATAATAAGCTAATTATGGCAGATCTTTCACAATGATAAATGCAGTATGAATTTATGATAATTCTCTTTACATTTGTGGCATTACCAGCAATCCAACCAAATATGGAATCCGGCATTGCATAACCTCAAATAGAAACCTTGGCTACAAGGGTAAATGCATTGAAAGCTTCGGAGGAAATGTTATATAGATCCAGTTATATGTAAATACCTATTTCATTAATTACATTCTACATCTGGGAGTCGAGTTGTAAGAATTTTGTTTTTACTTATTCCAACCAAAGGCAACTGCACTGAAAGAGTCTTGAAGAGAAAAGTACAGGACATTTGTGATATCAAACACACAGCTTGAGTACACTTTTTATTCAGCACTCCAGTATTCTATTATATGTGAAAGCCAACACACATCATAAACTGCGCTTGCCATAATATACACAGGCATTAGCACGAAAATTGAAATATTACCACACACCTGTTTCAGTAGGTAAATTCTGACATCAGCACTTTGCATACAATCATGATGGACAACATTTATGCCCTAAACTACAAATAGATATACATATAGCCAGATACAGGTCAACAGTCAGTTCTGGTTTAATTAGTTTTTTGATGCTAATTTCAATAAAACTAAGTTCAATTTTCCTAGTTACCTGCACAGACCTTGCACTACAGTTTGGCGGTGTTGACTATTACATTTGCTGATTTTGAGCACTTACAAACACTGATAAGGACGATGCACCTACCATTCATCATTAGATTGACTGGGAAATTGTGCAGATAGTAGTTGTAAGGCTGTAGCAATAACCAAGTGTATATGAGAGTGATGATGAAACTGAAACTGGAAGAGTCTATACTCTTAGATTAATTCAGTTGTGTGGGGAACTGGTTGATTACAATGAATTCAAAGAAAAGCCAGGTAGTGGCGGTGTACATTTTCTGGAGGGGAAGGGTGGCAGCAAGGAGGTGGAGGGAAGTGGGGAGGTACTGGGGGGTTGAGCGGCAGTGAAGCAGTTGTGTGCATGTCGTCTTATCCATGGTCTCAAACTCTTCCTTTTTGTTATTTGTCTATTCTCAACTAATTTTGTAAGATGCTTATATGTATACTAAATTTTCCATATTATGACAACATAATGAGTCTCTGATGCTGCTGCAACACAGATTCTGGGAGACTTCTCAGCACACCATCCCATCTTGTCTCTAGTTTGGGGAACTGATGCACTTGCTCAAGATTTATTTTCTGAATGATGATGAACTAATGCATGATGAGATGGGGTCTTGGCCCTTACCTTTGCTACTGTGGCCCTAAATGAGAGATTGAGTTGGTCTGGGATCAGACTGTCATGAGAGACCATAACTCAGTTGCCCTCACCCTCACATGTTAAAACATAATCCCAGATAGATGTTGCATAAAGCCAACAGGCAAGCCTTCCAGAATACCTTACCTTAGTGGCTCAAAAGTAGCTGAAGCCCCAGTGATTAATAATGTGGATGTACTTGCCCAACCACGTCAGTGCCATTAACCTCACACAAACCATGTGTGTGGTTGAAAAGTCCCAAGGACTCCTGATACCTCACTAATAAGGTAAGAAAGGCCAGCCATAGAGTGGATATATGACAGAAAAAATAAAGTAAATGGAGATTCCCCAAGAACTTAGCTCCTTCTAGTGAGTATAACACACATTCGAAAAAAGAAGCGAAGGGGGTTTGTCAGCAGAAATGGTTGGAATGAGGAGAGAACTTTGGCTACCAAGACTGCCTTACAAAACGATGTTGACAAGTGAGATGAACCACCAATTATTAAACGCCAATGTATGCACCATGATCCTAAATAAAGGAATGGATGCAGGCCCTTGAGTTCTCTACAAGAATGGGTAGTACCAACCAAATAGATTTGATGCCAGGAACACCTTTGACAAGGCACACTTGCCCTCAACTAGAGTGAAAACATCAGAAAATACATTGTATATTGCAATTATCTCCTAGGGAGGGTTGTGTGAAGCATAACCAGGGTCCAGTTTTATATTACTATGAAAAGATATATTGTTATTGAGAAAGACATTTGTATCCCTAATAATTCTAGTTATCATATATGAATTGATAGAACTATTAAACCCCAACCCGCTGGGTGGCGCATATGTACATGTCATGGCTGTTGTGAACAAAGTTGAGGGTGACGTAATATCACAGCCATTCCCACTCCGTCAGCTCATAGGATGGAGCTAGCTTTTCTCCAATTGTAGCAGAATCATTTCTATGGTCAAACTTTTAAACAATGGCACATAAAGTGAAGGCTAACCTTCAAAATTTTTATGTTTAAAAATTATATTAAAATATAAGCTAACCACTAAACAAGCTGGGCAGAAATGGGAAACTGTCAATGCACGCCAACAACTTTGCGTTCATGTCCACTTGCCAAATTTTTTAACCTGGGGTTATTGGGTTAAGTGTTACCTGACATAAAATGAATGATACTGTGCTTTTTGTGGTAAGCTATTTTTTACAGCTTTTACTCGTAAAACCCTAAGTATGCATTATCTGTATGATATGTTAGAAAGAAAATGGCTGATATGCATGCCATGTGTACTGTATTATGGTATACAGGTGCTTAGTCACTAGGGAGTAAATAACTTGTCCTACGTATCTCAACTGTTTACCCTTTTCATTTAAGTTCAGAAAGTTTGTATGTTTGTTTGTTTGATCATTGGTTAACAAGATAACTCCAAATGTTATGAATAGATTTTAATGATTTTTTTTACCTGATAGGTGTCTCAGCTTAATTTATATTCCTTTAAATTTTGGTGGTGATCTGGATCATGATGTAGATCCAGGATTTTTTAAACTATTTTTTATTAAATTTTTACTAGAGGTGTCTCATAGCCTAACTTAGATGCCATTAAATTTTAGTGCTGATCCAGATCATGATCCGGATCTAGGAATTTTTATCATAATAACATCAGTTACCCTATATACAGGGGCAATTGTTATAATTATATTTACCGTTATCACATTTACCAAGGTGGTAATGTTTGTGGATGTCATCAGTGTACTTGAGAGAGAGGTGATTTTAACCCTTTGGATCTGGTTGTATCACAGAAATTACAGAGCTGAAACCCTGGGCAATGGGTTATGTAAGTGGCCAATATCCCGGATGTGTGGCACCTAGGCCAGGCACGCACAAATGCCCGTGAACAGTGACAAGACTGTGCCTCCCCTTTGCAAGGTTATTTTTTGTAAACTTTTTTAGCTTTATTGCCATTTTCCAATGTCCATATTTGTCTTTTGATTTGCTTTATCCGCTTGATTACTTAATTTCCTTGCACAGACTCCATGTCATCTCTCTATGTAGTAAATCACTCTGTGCAAGAAAAAACAAATATGGAGCATTTGGTTATTTGTGTCATATATCTCATTTTTCCATAATTTTAAATTTTACATAATACAACCTGGGCCGCTGGTCACTGTAGCTAGGAATATGGTGCGCAGCATGGAAATGGCGTCCTTCCTGGATCTGACACTCTTCCAGTCACGGCTTACTCATGTTACATTCCACATTTGTATATTGTTGGGAATAATGCTAAAGCCCCTTTCTAAGTGCCAAGTGAGTCAAATAACACATCAAGAGGTTTGTGCACTTGTGGCAAGTCTTTTCCGTCCCCCTGATCTTCGCTCATGATAGCAGTTCGTGTCATGCGGTCACAGCCAATTTGTGTGCATGTTGACATCACCTGCCCCACGGCACAAGTTTTTCTGTAACGTGACCGCAACGTCATCCAGGTCCAATTGGTTAATGTAATTCTTTAAGTGTGAATATTTTTATTGCATGAGAGACCCTATTGCCTTGGTGATGGTATGCACTCTTTGAGTGCTTCTATTCTTTTATTGTTATTATGGTAATCATAATGTCAATAAAAAATGATATCAGTATTGATATTAATTACATCAAAGAAAACACAAAAATGCAAGGAATGGGGAAATTGGGAGAGGTCACAAGTGCGTACTCCTTGATGGCTGAGCACTTATGAAGCCATCTGTGTGCGACAAAATTCACAGAAGAACTACAGTGGACAGTACATGAAACCACAATCAGTGGGTTAACAGTCAAGGAAGAGTATTGATGATGGTGATTGATAGCCTCAGTAACTAAATGCATATTCTGTCATTTCAGGTCTTGGCAGCACCCGTCCTTAAGTATCTAGAGATGATAATTCAGCCCAACTTGGATAAAGATGCCAACAAAAATATTGATGATGATATGATTGTAGTTTCCAGACAGGTGAGATTATATCTGTTTGTCAAATACATCTGTATAAATGTTATTATAATGCTTTCAATCATTTAGAGTCAACATATTCTTGATACTTATATTTTTATTATATGTCTCAATATTAGAGAAAATATTCTCACTCTGATTATCAGTGATTTTGAGAAAAGGTTACAGTGAAAGGTGTGGGAAGCAAAGAACACATAATGGAAAGGCCTATGGTTTCTTGTACAGTAAAAAAAAAGAGAGAGAGAGAGAGAGAGAGAGAGAGAGAGAGAGAGAGAGAGAGAGAGAGAGGAGAGGAGAGGAGAGGAGAGGAGAGGAAGATAGGAGAGAGGAGAGGAAGGAGGACAGGAGGACAGAAGAGAGAGAGAGAGAGAAGAGAAGACAAGAGGAGAGGAGAGAGAGGTGCCCACCAAGGTCTGTCATTTTGGCACTCTTGGTATAGTTTTAGTTAAATGCAGCTTCTACTAAATTGATAATGCATCCATATTATAGTTAGAGGGACTAACCATTAACTTTTCAGAAAGAAACCAGTGATGTAGAAACAAGTGTAAAATCTCTGTGTCTTCTTGCATTTGTTTTTTTTCTTGTGTCACTTAGTCATTTCATCATGAAATAACACATTACTTTTTTATTTCAGTTACTGTTAAATGGTGCTGTTCTCCATGAAGCAGTACCAAGTGGTGTCTTAGAAGTGGTGCAGAGTGTAACCAAGATACTGTGCCTGTGTCAGCTGAGCACAGCTACGCGACTGAATCTACTAGCTGCTCTTGCTGAAATGTGGCCAATGCTCGACACTAATAATGATATTCGTACTCAGCACGCATTACTAGCTACAAGCATTGGTGTTTCATTGGATATTTAGTTAGTACATGTTGTGTTACTTTCGCTATCTCTTTCATTATGAGTCTGCACTATTCATTTTATGAAGAGAGATAGCTTGAATTCTCAGTAAAAAATATACTGTTTTAATGGCACTCACCTGTTTAGGATGGGAAAATATACAAAAAGTTACATTGCCTCTTTATATGTTCAGTTTAAATGAAGACCATTTTGTCTTGAAACCACACATCATTCCTCATTTTATCTTCGGTTTAATTAAGATGCTGTGGATTCAGTATGTATTAAAATGACAATAGATCACAGTTTTTTTATGCTAATGCGAGTGAAGTATTTTCTGCTGTTCTGTTATGCTATTTTACATTTCTGCAAATCAAAGAAAAGGGAGGGGGGTCATACCAAAGTTAGTGTTCATGCTTCTAGTCGATAATGAAAACCAAACAAACTAGTGACAAGGTAGTAGGATGAATAAATAATAAACCATATGCCAAGTTTTTTTGTTTTGTGATCTGTGTACTAACTCCGTAGAAATTCTTGATTCCTATAATGTTCACCATGACATGTTTAAGATTGTTTGTTTCTCCTTTTCATCTGTCAGGTTTATACAGCCTTATAAACACAATTGAATATACATATATATTTTTTTGTATGTATTTTTCTTTAGGGTAATTAGAGTCATAATATTTTATTATGCTTATCCAGATCTGAAAATCATGATTAAGGAGTGAGCAGCTTTTTTCCCCCTTAGTAAAACTTGTTATATGAAGCATATAGTTATTTTGCAGCTTGATTAGCAGAATCATTGTGAATGATGTTGAATAAAAGCTCAGGTTTTGTTATCAACAGTCTCTTGTTTTCATTTTTCATGTTCTCTTGTCTTTTCATATGATTCTGCTTAGGCAGTTAGATGGATGAAAAATAGTCTTGGATTAGGCAGTGTCGAAGATTGGCTGTTAGGGTTGGAGGCGTTTCTGTTACTGGTTTTATGAGCATTTATTCACAAATGATTGATATGGTAAAGACTTTTTTTTCTTATTCTTTTTCTTTATTTCTTTATTTCTTTCCCTCTTTCTCTTCTTTTTCCTTTTCTCTTCTCAATTGAATATGACTGTAAGTGATCTTTTTTTTTCTTGGCATAACAGAACCTTAAACAGAAAGGGAGTATGCATTGATAAAAATATCTTAGATTGGTAAGAAGTGAAAGATAAAAGAATCATCGGATGAAAGATGGTTTATTATTTTTGTATGTCGCAAAATAGAATAGTTTCCTTCTTCTTCATCACCTTCTTCTTCTTCTTCTTCTTCTTTTTTATTTATAATAGGCTACAAAATGTATAGGAAGGATTTTTTTTAATTTTTAATATTAGGCTAAATCAAGACAAATTATAAAAAAAGAACTAATTGTCAATAAGATGAAGTTATGTTACTATATAGTGACTTGATGTGTTCTTCCAAACATAATAGCTGTTTTTTCGTTTTGAATTTGGCAGTTTTATTCTGCCATAAAACTTCAGTGTTCAGTACTTTTGGGTATCTATCCTTTTATGCTTTATTTATGACTCACAATAATGACAGAAGAATGTTGTGATAAAGTAAGGCCATTTATATATTTTTTGTATATATCTGTAGGACATCTACATTTGGTATAATTGGCACAAGAATTTTGCCAGTTAGCAAATGTTATTCATTATTATTATTATTATATTATTATTTTTATTGTTGTTATTATTATTATTATTATTTTTATTATTTTTTTTGTTATTATTATTATTATTATTATTATTATTATTATTGTTGTTGTCATTAATATAATTACTGTCCTCATTATTATTATTGTTATCATTAATATAATTACTGTCCTCATTATTATTATTGTTATTATTGCTAACATTAGCGTTATTATTATTATTATTATTATTATTATTATTATTATTATTATTATTATTATTATTATTATTATTATTATTATTATAATGCTATTGATGTTAGTTATAATCATAACTATAATTGCTCTTCTTGTTAATTATATTGTTATTATTATTGTTATGCTGATGATAATGATTTTTGTTATTATTGATATTATGATAATGATAATAATA